GGAGGGCCAGGAGAGTCCCGTCATCAGCACCGTCGACCTTGTCGGCCTCCGTCCTCCAGCGCTCCAGGAAATCCCGAAGGGTGTCATCCTTCTTCTGGCGTATTGTTAGGAGGTGGGAGAAGTGCTTCCTTGTGCGACGCCTCCCGGCAAATTGTGTCAAGAACCGCTGGGCGAGTTCTTGCCATGAATCAATACAGCCTTCGGGCAGCCTGTTGAACCATTCGTATGCTGGTCCCTCTAAGGTGCAGAGGAACCAACGACACAAATATCCGTCTGACGCCCCCACCATCATCATGCTGTTCTGGTACTTGCTGTAATGTTCCTGGGGGTCCGTTTTCCCGCTGTAGGGCTGTATGTGTTGCCCTCGGTATTTCTCCGGGATCCGGGCCGCCAATACCCTTGGGGTGAATGGCGTCCGAGTCCGGAGCTGGATGACGGGTTCCCCGGAGCCCTCGGCCACCTTCTTCTGTAATTCCTCCATTTTGGCCATCATGGCCTCGTATTTGAGGTCTGAGTGAGGGGTGGAGGTGGTGGCGTGAGCTTTGTTGGACTCCATCTCTTCAAGCCGGCGTTGGAGGGCCGCAATAATCTCGTCCCGGGGGTCCTTCGGGAGGGTCTTCGCCCCCTGCGAACGAACCCGGGCCGAGTGGGCCTGGTTGATTTGGTGCCGAGCATCATCGGCATGAAGGGGTGCCTTGCCTTTGTCCCGAGGGGGACGCTCCTCGTCTGCCCTCGAAACAGATCCCCCGCTTTCATGGGGCCTTTGGAGTTCTTTCCCCCCGAGGCGGTCTTGGACCCCTCGGCGGTCTGGCCCTCCTCCGAGCCGGTTGAGGGCGGAAGTACGGGGCCTCTCCCCGTTTTCATTATGGCGGTCCCGGGACTGAACTTCCTGGGAGGATGTTTCTTGGGCCACCACCCCCTCGTCGTTTCTCACCCGAGGAGCGGGATTTCCGAAGGGGTGTGGCAGAGGGGGAAGTATGATATTTTCCCCGATCTGAGGGTGAGCTGGAGCCAGGGTGCCGAAGGCACCCGGGTTCTGGGTGAGCGTCTGGATGAAGGCGGAGAGCGCCGATTATACGTCGATGGTGAGAACCGGAGGGTTGACTTGGTCATCGCTTCGGTTTTTCTTCTTGGCCTCGATGCCGAGGCGGGCATCGGGGGCATTTTGTTGGATCTGAAGGCGTAGGTCGACAGCCGCCTGTTCCAGCCCAGCGATGACACCGCCCTCGGGAGCCCTGTGAGAGGCTTCGGGGGCGTTGACGTCGCCGAGGGCCAGGTTCTTGTCTTCTACGTTCTTTGAGCTGGCACGTGTTGTCCTCACCATTTTGATAGAGGGCTAGTGTTTTGCGTTTGGTCGAGGGGGAGGGTTTCTTACTCGATTGTTCGGCTCTCAACGAGAGCACCAAATGATGGATAGTCTACCCGGGGGTATATATCCGAGGGGTTATTGCGGAGAATAACTGGAGAGAAGTCAGAGCAAATAAGTAAGAGAGAGTGTATATTCGATATGATGTATTCAGCGTGGTTACAAATGAGGAAATGGGGTGCTATTTATAGCAGCAATAAATGCCGGGCAGGGACACGTGTCAAGCGCTCATTGGCCGAGGGGTCACCTCAACTGATTGGCGCCGGCAGCCGCATGTGGCCGCATTTAATGCGGCTGTTGGATGGGACGTCTGTGCAGAGTACGGTGATCTGTACGCATGTGAGGCGGATATCTTGTCGAGTGAGATGCCTTCGGCTATAGAGCAGTAACCGAGGGCTCTTCCTCCCGATAGCACCCCTGGTGCCGAGGGCTCAAAGTGCCGAGGGCTGCTGTTTTCGGCGTTTTCTCCCAGTTTCTCAGTTTGCCTGAGAAACCCGTTCTGTGAGGATTTGGAGCCTTCGGCCAGGGGGCCGAAGGCACCCCTGGCGCGTAGTGCGGGCTGCTCGGTACTCTGGGCGCTGTGATTTGGGCATGTTGGGCCTTTTGGGCCTGTTGGGCCTTCGCTGGAGTAGTAGGAGTCTGTGGGCCGGGGGTTCCCGGGCCATATACTCCATCAACCTCCTTGCACGTTTGACTCCGAGTAGGGATACTAGACAAGCATCCGTGAAGCAAATAGCCGGTTCATCCAACCGAGCCTCCCTTCGAAAATCCCTCCCAATGTTAACCAAGGAAGTGTGGCTCTTTATTTGATGTAGCTTCTTGACGAACGCCAAATGCAAGCCATCCTCTTTAGTCACGAACTTAGTGACAATATCGTCTTTCTCCATTTCGTGAACACTTGAGATTTGACGTCCATCCCACCCTTCATCAATATCATAATCCTCTTCCGGTCCATTGTTAAAATTCTTGGGCACAAAAGGAAACACCGGTTGCTTGATAGTGTTGTCGGCCTCCTTTGTCCCATTTCTTTTTTTCCGTGTAACCTCAATAAAAGGATCCTCAATATTCTTCCCTTTTTCAGCCTACCTTGCCGGATCAATTCTAGGATTATTTTGCTTCACATTTTGGGCAGCCCCTTGCTTATCCTTAGGCAGATTAAGGACTTTGCAAATAAAGCAGTGATGTCCAAATTTTTTGCATTGATAGCAAAAGTTTGAATAAGTCTCATAAAGAACCTTTTGCATGTATTTTTTTCCCGATGGAGGAATGATTGGAAATTGGAGCACCGGAGGTTTAGAGGCATCAATTTCAATAAGAACCCGTGCAAAACTAGTATAAGTTTTCTCTTGGGTTACCTTGTCGGTTGTGATTGGGACCCCTACCATTGATGCAATTCGGCCAATCTCATTTGCTTCCCATAATCTCATAGCTAGCCGGGGGAACTTTACCCAAGTTGGCACCTTCAAGAATTCTTCACTCTCCGTAGAGAAATCCTCCGATAACTCCTTCAGGAACATAGTTAAAAGTGTTAAAAGGTGTGCTATACCCTACTGATATTGGGTGTGATGTTAAAAATGCATATATAAATTGGATGTCTTTACCATAGGGTGGATACGGTCCTGAGACCTAACCAGGACTGGTCGGTTTTCAAACCTGAACTGCAATCGGAAAATAAGGTTTTGGGGCGAGAACAGACCAGCCCTGCTATTCAAACAAAACATACGCAAAAAATTGCAAAAAATGTGATTTCTTAGGCAAAAGAACTGATTTAAAAATAATAATTTTATGGCCCTGATATAAAAACAGAACATATTCACTATTTAAGTAATCCCCTACTATTGAAACAAAATATCATTTTTTTTGCAAAAAAAAATGATTTTTTGGGTGAAAAATAATGAATTTTTGGAAAAATAAATGATTTTAAGAAATTATCGTTTTTAATATTAAAAACAGAACATATTCACTATTTACGTAATTACGTAAACTAATTGAACAATTAGATTCCTTATTTTCATTGAAATCAATGTTTTATTTCTTATAATCCGTATTAGATAAGTTACATTTCGACTTGCTGCAGTTACATTTTTTATTAGTGTGAGTTACATGTCTTTACACGTGAATTACATCATTCATGCTACCAGAAGAAAATGGAAGAAAAAACACTTACTGTACACGCGTGTACTGTTCACGCGTGTACTGTACGTTCACACGATTTTTTAAAAAATATTATGGAAAACTACGTCGTTTTGTGGGTAGAGCATGGTTCTCAACGTTGGATGATCCCACGATATAGGAATGGATTAAGAAATACATAATGCGTCAAAAGACATTACGCTACTTTGGACGTAGAGACCAATCCATCTCACCAAAAATCATACAAAGGCCATGTTTACACCAAAAATCATACGATAAAGGTAATGATCCATTTAAAGCCGTCACTCACACTGACTAACCTCGACCAACAGAGAAATGGTCACCCCTGTAAGCTTTGGAAGTAGTCAGTGCACTGGATCAGTACAAAAACATAGTTTTGAAAAAAATTACACGAAATTATTTAGAAAAAATGACATGTGTATTATTAATAGACTTTTTCCTGACAAAAATATGATAACTTATATTTTTAGACAAAAATATGGCTAGTTACTTAATATGAATAACTGGACAAATCACTGCTATATGACAAGTCAATGAAAACTAATCACCGAATATGTCACTTTTTTGAAAAAGTTAAAAATAAGTCATATTTTGTCTTTTTAATTTCATTATGTAATACTGATGGGAAATTATGTATATTAAAAATTAAGATATCTTTTAAATTTAAGGTCGAGTAGAGCCTGAGTTGTTGGATGAATTTCGGAAAAAAAACAAAAAGAATAATTAATTAAAATAGGCAAGAAAACAGAAAACGAGATGAGATAGAAAAAGCCAAAGCTTGTGCAACACACAATTTTCTTAAAACGTATTCGTTTCCTCCCACGGTGCTAAGAACGTTGCAACGATAGTTTCCCAAGATAGTGTGGCTACAGACAACCGTATGAGCACACAATTGATTGTTCCGGCGAACAGAAACAAAGACAACACTCATGAACTTTTGAGAAAGCTGGAAGTGGTTTTTAGTTCAAAACTACGTGAATAACATAAATAATTCGTGTGTTGTTGCAAAGCACCTGTGGCTATATATAGGAGCAAATATGTTTTGTGTTAAGTGCATTCATTAAGGGAGACAAGTGTTGGGCAATCAATGCTATAACAGTTCACCAACAGCCTGCAATCGGGTTGGTTCTGGAGCAAAAATAAGAACGTTACGGGAAGCCATTCATGTCCGCAGGTCACAATGAACTTCACAGTTTGACCTACACACATATTAAGGAAATAAACTTACCATGGGGTAAATTTTACTGTTTTAACACTGTTTCAACACTGTTTGTCACCGTTTTGCACTGTTTCGACACTGTTTGGCACTGTTTTGCACTGTTTGACACTGTTTTGATGTAGATTAACTTGTCATTTAAGGAAATGAGAACTTATTTCCGGGACATCCCAAAAAGGAAAGTGCGAAGTTGATTGAGGGACGGAGGGAGTAGATTTTATTTTTGAGCATTAAACTTTGGCTTTTTTAAATCATTGTTTAATTTGGACTTTGGATAGAAGGCTCTCGAGAGGCAGAGATGAAAAATAAAGAATTGACGTGCAGATTGCAGAACGCACAAGAAAGAACCATCTGTTTCCAGAAATTTCGACACGTTTTACTCTTCGCCCACGTCATCATCGTCCACCTCTTCCTTTTTAGGAACTAGATATACACAACATTTCCTTGAATTTGGAGCATGGCAGATTGACGGAACTTGAAACCGGGTAATTTACTTATCTACTCAAGTGATCCATTCAAACCTTAAACATATCCTCTTGTTTCATTAGTCCGTAGTTTACGACACTATTATGCAAGCTAGGTTATTATCCGTCGTCGCCGCCGCCGCCGCCATGGCGAAGCTAAACCGTCCCATGTTCTTCTTGATGCCTAAAAATCAATACGTCCTGCCACAAAGACACGTTTCTGCATCAGTTGGAAGAACAGCTGATCCTAATGTTCACGCCGGTGATCTTGATGTAAGTTTAATAGAACTGTGAATATTGAAGAATACGCTTAGGAATTATATCAAACACATGGTGTGCGTGAGATTAAATGTGGTCAATTCATATTTCTGGTCTCTGTTCTCAGGACGATAATGCAGCAGAGGCGAAAAAAGCGGAAACAGCGAAGGGGGGATCTGAGATTAATCACCCTGGCATCGGGAAATCGCCGTTCTCTTCGTCAAAATCCCCTTGTGGATCAACGCCGAAAATAGGAAGCACAGGTGTGAGCGATCTGGTTGAGCCTAACCTGCAACAGAAGCGCCGCGATTGCGATGTCGCAAAAGCAGACCCGTTGATTACCGACGTTATTTGCGTGGGGCTTGACGGCGGCCCGTGGCCGGATGAGGCGACGGATAGGCGCCGTCAAGAAGAAGAAGACAAGGAATTCTTCAAGCACCACAAGGCGTCGCCGCTGTCTGAGATAAGACTTGCTGACACAAGGAAACCGGTTACACGAGCCACAGACGAGTCTGGCGGTGGAGGAGCTGCTGATGGGGTGGTGACGTGGCGGCCGGAGCAGCTGGATACGGCGGAGGGTTCGCTGCTACGAGCCATGGAAGTGTGGAAATGGAATGCAATGAGAGGTGACCCGGATTCCCCTCACGGGAAGGTTCTTCGTGAGCTTAGAGGGGAATATTGGTGACCGGGTCTCACGAGTTCGACCATAGGACCGTCATCATAATTAATACGGAGTATCAAAGTTATTGTACATTCTTCATGTCCCTATTAATGACTTTTGTACCTCAAATTGTTTGAAAATTAAAAAAACCACACCTTATTAAATTAAGGGTGTTTTTCAACAATAGTGTTATAATAAAATTTATTTAGACAAATATGTCTACTAATTATTATGAAGTACGATGTAGGGGTTTTGTAATATTATTAAAAAATTTAATTGTGGACAAAAAGAGCGTGCTTTCTCTTCAAGCTTTAGTGACTCACGTACAGCGAGTAACACTCCTTCGTCCGGTGACCAAGGCCCATTCGTCCAGTGAGAAACGTCTACTCGTCCCGTGATCAAGGCTTCTGAAGTACCTGTGGTACACTTCCTGGAGAGATTGGCACAATCCTGTGTTATTGTCAGTCGGAAATAACCTTGGACGACGAGGCGGCGGGACATGCTGAAAGGGCCTTCCTCCATTGCTATGTCGGCCTCATCCTGATGTAGGCATCGGAGGAGAGTGTCATTGTAGGATCTCTTATAGAGTTTTCCATCTTCAATGATGTAACTTGGAGCCTTGAGTTTGGCTAGCTTGACCCTCTCCTCGTCGAGGGACTGCTGAGTCAACACGTGGACGACATGGGCCTGGAAGTAGTGCCCTAGCTTCTTCACCGTGTGGACAATGGCCAGTACCGTCTTCTCAACGGGGGAATATCTGAGCTCGGCCTCCCGCAGCGTCTTGCTGACATAGAAAATAGCCTTCTGCACCCCTTCATCCTCGCGGATGAGCACGGAACTGATGGCCGACGTGCTCACCCCTAGGTATAAGAAGAGGGTTTCACCGGTTTTGGGTTTGGAAAGCATGGGAGGGGATGATAGGTACTGCTTCAGTTCCTTGAACGCCTGCTGGCACTCCGTCATCCACTTGAAGCTGTTTGCCTTGCGTATGATTTGGAAGAAAGGGAGAGACCTTTCAGTCGATTTTGAGAGGAAACGGTTCAGGGCCGCAAGGCGTCTTGTCAGCCGTTGTACCTCCTTCACATTTCGTGGCGGCTCTATGTTAACAATGACCTGGATCTTCTCTGGGTTTATTTCAATGCCCCTTCGGCTGACCATGTAGCCGAGGAACTTGCCTCCCTGGACGCCGAAGGTGCACTTCTTGGGGTTTAGGCGGAGCTGGAACTTCTTCATGATTTCAAAAATTTCGATGAGGTCGTCCGCATGAGTGGTAGATTGTTTGCTCTTGAAAATCATGTCGTCGACATATGCCTCCATCGTCCGGCCAAGGACTGCTCTGAAGATTTTGGCTACTATCCTGGTGTATGTGGCGCCTGAATTTTTGAGCCTAAATGTGACACCGCTCCCACTTTGAACTGAGATTAATTAATCCATTAATATTAAAATTTAATAGAAATTACAAATACCAATGTCGATGAGGATGACTAGTTGAGTTTGTGAATATTTATTCATTTTGACAACTAGTTACAAAAATATTAATCATATGAGAAATGATTAATTGATTAAATTAATATCGATTAATTATATTGTGTGTCGGACCCTAAAGAAAATGGGGAGGGACTAACTAGTATATTCTTGGACCAGGTTAAATTAATTAAAAGCCCAAGGATAAGGAAATAAGTTATATATGAATGTTTGGGCCGGATAAAAGGTAAAGGAATAATATAATAGACTTTTTGAGCCACTTTCTAATAATAGAAAGGTAAAGGGGTTTAAGCACGTAACATTGGAGAGGAATATCCAATACATTTTAGGATCGATCTATTGAGGTCTACTAGCCTAAAATAATATAAGTAAACGAATAAAAGTCATTTGGGTCGGAGTAAATTAAAAGGAGCAGCCCGTGAACCCAACCTAACTAAATTGGCCCAACCTTCTAAAAATAGAGGATAAGGGAGGGGAGTTTCCTTATCCCCTCATTTGAGAGGTCCTGCGTAAGACACAAAGGAGAGGGGAGTATTGAGAGCTCCATACACACCTCACAAAACCAAGAAAGAAGAAGGCCAAGAAGAGGAGAAATCCAAGGCAAAACAAGTCCTAGAAGTAAGAATCACACAACTCTTGGTCATTGTTCTTTCTTTTTATATAGTTTCATAGATGATTTTATAAAAATCATATGATAGATTTTAGGGGATGTTCTACACGTTTAAAAGTGTAGAAATATGTTATAAAGTGTTGGTATTTAACTTAGAAGAGTTGTGGAATCGATAGGAATCGAAATCGCCGGAAACCGCCATCTCTAGGAGCTGTTTTCGTGCTGCAGGGCCCGAAAGCCGGGCAGCTTTTGCAAAAGCCGGGCGGCTTTTGCCCTTTGTCAGCCAATCTTGCTTCGGATCATTCCCGATCGAAGCTTTAACGATGGGGCTTCAATAGGAAGGCTTCCTGGACATATTTAATGTGATGATGGCTGACTATATTGCTTATAATTAATGGGTTAATTTCATAAGATTACCTAAAGTAATAAAATGTGATTTTCATGGATTATTAATGATTAATAATGCCTAAATGAAAATGCTATTGTTTATGAGTAAATGAAGCATGGTATACAAATTTGGAAGAAATTGTGTATGATTATGTGATATGAAAGTGATGGCATGAAAATGGAATTAACTATGAAAATATTGTGATAAAATATACTTTTACTTCATGTATAGAATTCATGAATGGATAAAGGTGATATTTTTGATATTGAGATTAAATTGTATTTGGATTGGAAAATCAATTGAAATGAAATGTTGATTATGAATTAGGAACTTGGTTGTTCTAAGATTATCCGACTAGTATTGAAATACTAGTCAGGAGATTAATATAAATAAATGATGGAATTAATCCTAAGAGATAGGATTGTGAATAGAGATGCCTTAAGTAGTCTTAAGAGATACTTAAAGATCGAAATGTACATGCTCTAAGATATGTTAGGAGTAGGCCTTAAAGGCTACTCAAGGTAAATTGATTCTAGGCATAGTATTGGCTTAGGAATCGAATAGATTGACTAAGAGCGGGGCTCTAGCCTAATGTAGATGACTAAGAGCGAGGCTCTAGCACAAATGTAGATTGACTAAGAGCGGGGCTCTAGCCTCATGTGGATGACTAAGAGCGAGGCTCTAGCATAAATGTAGATTGACTTAGAGCGAGGCTCTAGCCAAATGTAGATGACTAAGAGCGAGGCTCTAGCACAAATGTAGATTGACTAAGAGCGGGGCTCCAGCCAAATGTAGATTGACTAAGAGCGGGGCTCTAGCCTAATGTGGATGACTAAGAGCGAGGCTCTAGCATAAATGAAGATTGACTAAGAGCGAGACTCTAGCCAAATTTAGATGACTAAGAGCGAGGTTCTAGCATAAATGCAGACTGACTAAGAGCGAGGCTCTAGCCTAACGTAGAATGACTAAGAGCGGAGTTCTAATACGACATAGATTGACTAAGAACGATGCTCTAGCACGGTATAATAATAGGATTGAGCGAGGCTCCATGATGGCTAAATAATGTAATTAAGAAATGCCCCATGACGGTAGTACAACTTACGAAAGGTTGTGAAAAGCGTGACAAATAGTTACGGAGAAATAGGGGTGGATGTTTCAAAATGAATATGGGCCACGGGCCGACTACTTGACTTTATATATAAAGTAAGTATATTTTTGAAAGAGGGTAACCGGGGGTTATGGCCTATAAAAATAGTATCACCCTATATTGAGGGTCTTAAGAAATTGAAACATTGATTATACTTAGTATAGTTGTCATTGTACTTGTCAAACGCTTCTAAGTACTGACCTCCCCTTCACGGGGGGGGGGGGGGGGGGGGGGGGGGGCACCTCACAGTTTCAGGTAGAAGTTGAGCTTGCTACCAGTGCTCGTTGCTTCGGGAAGATCTAGGAGAGAAGACGTGGTTCGTGCTTCCTCCGTTTCTATTTCAAAAACAATTATAATAATGCTCATGGATATTATTTTCTGAATAATTATTTGGGGGCTTGTATGCCTAATGATGCCAAGTGTGGCTTGAACACTTGTATTAATGTTTCCGCTGCTTTAAATGATTATTTTACATTATATATGTTTATGGATGTACTACGTGTGTCGTGACATTAAAGGTAATGACGAGGTAGCAGAAAATTCCCTCCGGGGTCATGAAGGCCGTCTTCTCGGCGTCATCTTCATGCATGAAGATCTGGTGGTATCCTCTGAAGGCGTCTAAGAACGACATCAACTCGCAGCCCGCCGTCTCGTCTACCAACTGATCTATGTTGGGGAGATGGAACGGGTCCATGGGGCACACCTTGTTTAGATCAGTGTAATCAACACACATTCTGAACGTCGGCGGCTTTGGGGCGAGGATGACGTTGGCTAGCTAGGTTGGGTACTTCACCTCCCTGATGTGGCTGGTTGAGAGGAGCATGGTGACCTCCCCCTTGACAAAGTCCCGTCTGTCGACCGAAAGGTAGCGCCGCTTCTGCTTGACTGGCGTGGAGGCGGGATCGACTGACAACCGGTGGGTGATCACCTTCCGGCTGATGCCAGGCATGTCGTCCCCCCCCCCCCCCCCACGCAAAGATAATTGCATACGATCGCAAGACCTTGACTGGCGTTGGTCCTGTGGGAGTTGCTTCCCAATTTTCAGGACTCGTTCCGACCGAGAGGTGTCCAGGGGGACCTCCTCAACTTCTTCGACTGGCTCAGCATGTGGCCTCTCTTCATCTTTGGCGATGGTGGCAATGATAGTGTCCACTCTTTGCTCGGTGCCTGCGGCCGGCTTTGTCAGCTTGAGATAGCATGTCCTGACTATCCTCTGGTTTCCCCTGGCGTAACCGAGACCACTGCTGATAGTCCTTCCCGTGGAGGTCGGCGACGGCTCCCATCGCACCAAGATCGATATGGAGTTTATGGTGGTCAAGTTGCCCCATCGCACGGGGAGTCCCTCAGTGTCATGTACCTGAACACTTTCAAGCAGCTGAACTTGGACAGGGCATTACTCAAGCTGATACGGACACCATTGTCCGGCGAAACCGAGGACTCTATCGACGCCGAGGGCACGATAGTCCTTCCCGTGGAGGTCGGCGACGGCTCCCATCGCACCAAGATCGATATGGAGTTTATGGTGGTCAAGTTGCCCCATCGCACCAAGATCGAATTAGCTTCTCGATGGCTCTGTTCAACGTGACACAATCGTCTGTATTGTGGGAGGTGTTCCTGT